GCGACTTCAGTCTACAGAGGCATTATCCGACAGGATCTGAGAGCAGATCTGTCAGACAGATTCCAAAATCTGCCAAACTGGAAACGAGAAACTTTTTTAAACCAAAATAAAGTGCTTCTTCATCTAAATAAAGCTGGCTTTTTTTATCCTCTGCATCAAGCGTCACTCAATGTCATCGGAGTCGGTGTAGTTGGTCGGAAAATGAAACGGCTACGGCGAGGCTGCCTTGTCGGCAAACATCTACAGTTGGCTTTCGCCGGCGGAAAGGCATAGATCTTCATCTCCAGCTCTTTCACATACTGTTCTAAATAATCCACCCTTTGAATCAATTCGGCACAATTCAAAGCACAGCATTGTTGCACGTCAGGGTGGCGCTTAATATCCGAGTGGCCAACAGCAGCCCCGTCAGTTGCCCGCCTCATTGTTTGAACAATAGTATCGTCTGCGTCACCCGCTTCAGGTATGCTTACGAGAAATCGTCACAGAGAATGCTACACCTAGTAGCTCAACAGAAATAACGACACCATCTCTTGTATTTATACTTTTTTTGCCCAGGTCCTACTGTACCAGTACTACGCACTGCGAACACGTCAGTGATTCTTAACGGTCTATTTTTGGACGATTTTTGATATCAATGCATGGTGTGATTTGTTTCTATTTTTTGCAGCGGAGCAAAGTTCTTGAAGCGGCGCTTGCAGGATTGCTAGTAGATGTGATTAGGACCAGTCACTAACAGGGGAGCCGACGAATCATAGGTGCCCGCTGCAGCGCTAGGTATCACCTGTGCCTTCTAATATGGGCCGCCTGACACCTGACGGAAGTGCTAGGACATGGCAGGAGCCTGCGTGTATAAATATCGCTTCATTTCCCTCCACGTCATGGAAACATAAGTCGTAGTAACGCAACTACCGTAGAGTAGGATAGCCGAAAGCAAAGATGCTTATATTCTTCTCGAAGAAGAGAGAGCGAAGCATGAAGCGACCAAGGCCGAGCTAGAGCAATATCGCAATTGTTGTGAAGGTTGGGAGTCTGCTTACAATGCTTCCTCGGCCATAGTCACTCAGCTCAGTGCAAAGGTATCCTACCTTGAAATGATGTTGTGTGCCGCACAAACTCGCCATCTACAGCTCATGACCGAAAACGGCAGACTCAATCTGACGATCCGGCATTTAGTATGAAGCATCCCCTCAACAATCTACCATATGCACTAATGTTTCTTAGGCTCCATGGAGTTGGATTAGCATCCCACCAGCGAGCTCTTGCCCAGCTCTGGAGTCCGAGCATAACGACTACGAAGAAGTGAAAGAAGACGACACAAAGGGGGAAGGTGATCAAAGTGAATGTTAGTAGCCACTTGGTGGTGGCCAAGGCAAAAATGTGAACAGTAATCGTAATTGTTATTGTAGACCCCATGGTTTCAACTATTCTCAGGAATCTTTGGTTTTTGTTGAAGCCACTGCGGCCTCAATACCTGCGAGCCTGCTTCTCAATGCTTGCACTTCCTTCGAAATTTCGAGGACGTGGGTTAGAACTACCCTGCGCCAGAATCTCGCAGATGCACGATTCTGCTCAGAAACGTCCTGTAAATCTTCAGGTATAGATGCATCATTCTCCACCAATGTTAAGTGTGCAATCTGACAATCACAACGCTCTCCCATTGTTACAATAAATTTACCAACTTGCGTTCTGAATATTGATACTAGACTCGGTACGATATGAAGCAAGGCATGAACACCCAAGGTCGTTTGTCAACCGTTATATATAATTATTGTCCCAATGCACATGATCACACAATGCAATCACTTCACACGGCACTCGGCAACATGCAACAAGCAACAAGCAACAAGCAACAAGCACCAAGCAACAAGCAACAAGCAACAAGTTGTACATTATCTATAGAAACACACCTCACTACGAGACATTGAACGGGACACCCAATCGCAACACGACGTCAGACCTGTTGGTGATGACATCTTGTGAGCATCAACCTACACTCACGCCTGGGACTTATCTGCACGGCACGCCCCAGTCATAGTTTGTATCACTGTGATGGTTGTAGCGGCTATGGTTGGGCCCAGGCCTGGTTTGGTGTTGCCCGCTGTGGAAGAGGCTATCTGAGTTGATGGAGTTGTTGTAGTGGGGACGGCGGTTGTGGGAACAGGTGTGGTGGTGGCTGTATTACTCGTGGTGGGGTCCGGCAGGGGAACCAAGGCCAAACAACTTACAGGATTGCATGTTCCAGGTGTGGTTGGATTAGGTTACGTTGGCGCTAATGTTCGTGGACCTAGCGTATTCGCCGTGGGGTTGACAGCGGTTGCAAGCTTGGTATGGTCGGTGTTGCCGCCCGGCCAGGTTGACGCCGTTGACGATCCGTCAGAAGCAGTCTGGTCAAGAAAGAACCTTGTTGTGAGGCTGGCTACGGCCGTTGTCATGGTAGTCGTGATGGCCGTGGTCCCACTGGTCAGTGTCAAAGTATTTGTGACAACGGCCGCGACAGGCTCAACGCACCCCAAGCGGCCCTCCAGGTATCTATTTATGGCTTTTGCGTCACCGCTACCCCGGCTGTTTGCAATCACAGCGCTGTTGCACATCGGCGATGGCTGCCCAACACACAGCCTGTTTATCGTTAGCTGGCATCGATCGGGTGGGATGTTTGACACAAATACCAATGAATGGAGGCAGCGCCAGCCGGGGCTTCGGAGGGAAGGTTGAATTCGGCAATTTGGCGCCCTGAACAAGCCATTTGCCCAAACTGAACAGTTATTGGCAGAAATTCGTCGTTCTCAAATTGCAGGATTGCTTCGCAAGGGCCTACGCTGTTAGACGCGCTGTCGACGCTGCTCCAAGTTCAGTACGGAAGGCCAAATTTAGAAAGACCGGAGTATGCACGCACTAAGCAGACACCAATTCACCAGCCTTCAGGGGCAGCGGCGGATCAGATTGGCAAATTGTTGGTAAAGTCGCCATGCCAGCGGCAACATTGCATGCTCCAATGATAGCAAAGAACCACATATTGTGGAGTGTTGAGTGAAGAAGCTCAAAATAGAAGTAGTTTGCAAGCCAGACAGTAGGGGTCTCGGAGATATTTATAAGTCATTTATGGCCACTGGTTCTGAGGCTTTGATTCTTAAAATTGGGCACTTCAGATCTTTGCAACAGTTCTTCTAGATGCAGGATGCCAGCTCTCCTCCCTAGGCTTTCACTCTAGCTCACTCTCGTTCTGGCTATAAGAGACACCCTGTGCGTGCCCCTGATGACAATGGACAAACTTAACTCACTCAAAATGTACTCCGAATCAGACTTCACACTTCCTTTTGAGCAGATTTTAGACTGCGGCCCGGCATCCATGGCCCCTGAAGCACCAATGACCGATTCACTTGGGGCTCCGTTGACTTCCGAGAAGCAGTAAGTGCCACATCCCTAGTAGGTCCGAGAAGCATCCTGATTGGGCAAGTATCCTTCAATGTATACTTCAGAAACTAGAGCACCTCGAGAAGGATGTTGGTCAGAGTACACGTCTGGAGAAGAGGTTTGATACAGTCGATAGAGAGCTATCAAATAACTCCAGACTTGAGGGGATTGAGAAAGACATTGGAAAGCTGCGAGATTCCATCAATAGCCTAGCAAATGACTTGAGGAGTTTCTCCGTAGAGGTGAACATGAGGCTCAAGGAAGCGAACTATCCTGCGGAATGATGAGATGGTGCGGAATCTAGAAATGAAACCTAGGAAACTAGACACTCCTGTAAAGTATATATGTAGGACTATTTCCCTTCGACGGGGCTCGTAGCTGCAAATCCCATAAGGAGCACCATGGACCGCCATAAAACGCTGCCTCCAGTACCTGCTCGCCAGCAGGACCCTGAGCAACTTGGCTCGTTCTCACCAGAGACATACATCCAATTGCTGGAAGACGAAAACGAGCAGCTGCGGCTTTGCAACCAAGAATTAATTAAGCAGATGCGTGCATTAGAAGCCAGATTGGCTGCAGAGATACAGACTAAGGCGAGTTTGTCTGAAAATTTGAAGGAGACAAAGGGTGAAATCAGGCGTCGCGATGAGACCATCGCCAACATTGCAGGAAGAATCGTCCAGGAGTTTCAGAGCTATGCCGACTCCGTACGAGGTCAGTCTGTGGAAGAAGGATACATTCCGATTGGCTATAGCTATTTCGATTCAAGTTCTTGAAATTAGTTTGAACAAATTTCAGATTCTACGAAATAGATCTTAAAATGAACCATTCTCCCCTCCAGGTTCTCAAAACCAAGATGAAAGTCGTAATTATGAGGCAGCATCCAGGGGACAGTGAGTGACTGGTTGAAACACGCGGACTCATGGCGGCAGGCTACCATATTTTTAGCAACTTCGGGCCGGATCTCAGGGCCGGCGGCTAATTCTTTCGGCGCGACTGTTTGGACGCGTCCTGTACTACTATATAAACTCCCTTATGTGCGGTTCCGGTTCTTCAATTCAGCAAACAATTTCCTAGATTCTCAACAGCTAGAAGGATCACGATGAAGACCCCAGTTGACAAACAATGGAAGCAGAGGACATCCGGCATCATGAAGAAGGCACATGGCATGCACTGGACTTTCGGAGTCAAAGTGGCCCTCTACCTGGAGCGAGACGGTGAGCTATTCGTATACCGCTCTCATGAAGACTTTGCCTGGGAAGCAGCTACCTTCCTGGCAAAGCAAATCCTAACTCCCAACGACTTCATAACCCTTGCACAAGACCTGAGTTCCAGGCGGGCTCAGCAGTCCACCCCGCTTCCATCATCAGAGCAGGGTCCGCCGCAGACACCAGTCTCCTCGTCAATTCCCACGCCAGTTTCCACGCCAGGTTCCTCAGAATGTTCAGTCACTGGTTCTAGAGCACCTCGTCGAACAAGGTCACATGCGACAACGCTCTTTAACATAGCAAACTAGACTAGCCGTGCTACAGTCTCTTGTAAATTATCTATCTGTTCCTTCAATGAAGATTTCGGGTGATCATTCGCGTCTAAACATGGGAGAAGATCTGCAGGGCAGCTACACAGCTCTCTAGTGCCTGTAGCAAGTGTCCCATTAAGCTTCACAGTGATTATAGATCTTGGAGAATGTAGCAGGACTTCCAGGCGTCGCAAAAGCGGTCTTCCGTTCTTCAACCCCTCTAATATCTGATCAGTACACAGGAGGAAATGTCTAACTTGACCGCTCTCGTGAAACTGAATGTGAACCCTCCTCCTTCGCATCCTCATGGCGATGTCGAGTAAATGTCGTCCCGCGGGCAGTCTACACTTGACCCAAAGTACAAAGCGAGCGGGGAAGAGATCGTAGAAAGTCGGAATTCCCTCCCTTTGAACATAAAACAGAGCCGATATGAGCTCATTTGCCATGCTCAGCGTCTCCGCGTAATTACTGTTGTGACATTGTGTAATTACGTCGATACGGCCATCCGGCCATATGCGATTAGCCTCAATGAAAGCGCGAGCGGCGATGTTGTCGACACCTTGGGACAGAAATGAGAATTTTTGCAGCCATTTCGATGATTTTGTAATGTAGTTTTGGCAAATTGCTAGACGGCTGTCTGTATTGTACAAAACCAGCTTTATCTTGGCATCAAGAAGGTCGCTTCTCGGGAATCTCAACCCTTTGCCAAAGAACAGGCTCTTGTCATCAACCCGAACGCACTTCAGCTTCGGTAGGTGATAAATGCAGTCCTCGACGGCAGCTTGGTTGCAAAAGATCATTACCATGAAAAAAGCGCCTGTGCCGCTCCCTAAGACGAGATCAAAATAATCCTCAAGGCGGCCCGACAGCGACGATCGAAGATCCTTCAGGAACATTGCGATCGGCAGTGCATCGTCAACGTTTCCATGGAGGTTGAGAACACGAATACCGGCCGAAGGCGGCTTCAGAGCCGTTTGCACTGAATTAACAGCTCCGCATAGAACGCAGAAGTGCATCTGGTATATGTCGATGCCCTCTTCGCTTTTCTTGCCGTTGGCCTCCGTGCAATTATCGCATACCCTGTGGCCGCATGATAGGGTAGTCGCTGGAAAGCGACAGAGACACACGAGACATAAATCTGTGGGCAACGTAATTTTGCTACTGCATGAAAGAGTACGCATCGAGCTTGCTAGAAGTGTTTGTCGTTCCGAGGGTTCGGCCTTCATAAACTGTATAAACAGTGTTCTGACATCTGCTTTAAGAGTTACCGGTTCTATGCTGCTTAACATGGGCGAATAAAATTCGTCGAACCAGTCGGTGGAAGACAATTCCATTAATTTAGGGTTCAACATACGACCAACTCGCCGTCTATGCTGATACGTTTCTAACAAAAGTGAACTGGCTATGGCGCTGCAGGCCGATTCGTAGAGGGTGGCGTCGTGCATTGTCAGGCGGACTAGTTTCTCTGCACCCCATGATAGTTGACCTGGCAAGGGGTTTGTGCGCCATGCTTGTTGAAAACTGAAAGTCTTCCGGTGGTCTTCAGCGAACTGTGAACAGGTCGAGCGCAAGAGGTGTTTCACGTCGCAATTTCGGAATGTTAGGGCTGTGTCATTGTTTCGAGTTGCCTGTGTCCACTCCAAAACATGATCAGCCGACGTTCGCGACCTGCAGCCACGCATCAGCCGAATTCCTGCAAAGCAACTACGCCATCTCTTCTCTGCCTGACTAAATGAGAGCCCCTCGAGGGGACTGTAGTGTGACATAAGTTCTGCTGCTAAATCTCGTTCAACGTCTCTCAGAGCCATCTTTGGCTCGTGTTCCGAAACAATTAGCACCTGTGGTCTGCAGCGAATAGAGGAAGCAAATGACAGGTCCACCCAACGAGCCAAGACTCCCACAATGGTGAGAATATCCCAGTAATCGTTCTGAATGAAGACCACGGCTTCGCAGAGCGGAGACAGAGCCCTGGCATAAAACTCGTGGGCAAGGTCCTCGGGGCAGCCGTACGATTCTACCTGTCTTCTGGTCAAATTTGGCGGACAAGGGCCTGCCTTCATCGCAGGGTATGACTTTTGATGATGAAGGTGGCAATCCAGCAGAATCGTCTTGGCAAATCGGCACATGCGAACTTGTCTGGGTGCTTCTGCCCCGCTACATCCCCCCGTGCAAAACAACAAAAGCAGTTTGGCCTGCCCATCGGGCCGATTGTCAAAGCTCTGATAGGGCTGATGGAATTCCTGAAGCACAGGCGTCCTGAAGTCATTGCCGCCGCGCACAATGTCAATCCAGGCCGACATGATGGAAGAGTTGCTGGCCGCTGTCAAGGCTCCGCCGGCGGATCGCTGGCTGAAATATCTGCTTGCACCTCTGTTATCTGATATCTATGTCCTCGGATACTCGTGCTTCGCAAGTTGCAAAGCTAGAATACGTAATCTTGGAACCACGATTCACCGCTGCCATCTGGCTGTCCAATTGCAAATTCTTACAGCTGACTACCTGGGATGTCCGCTATGGGAACCCCTCATTGTATTTACCTAACAAGTCCCATTTCTTCCCCTTAAATGTAGCCTGTGCATCATTTCCATCATATCCTTGTCGTTTGGGTTCATCTGAGGGTCGAGTTGCTCAACTGCCCCGGCCTCTGGGATCCGGCACAGGGCAACATGCTTTGAAACCATGTTTTCTGATCCGTTTTCTCATGGCACTTTCAGTATGGGCTTAGTCCTGGCATCCGAGCCATTGCTTTGTTCTTCCATGGGGCTGCATATGTGGAGGTTTTGCCGAGACTTGATCAATGGATATGGAGTCGGTGATCGCCATATTTCTGGGCGGTTGTGGCGCAACTCCAGACGGGCTGAAGCGGTGCGCGTTCAAGTATCCGGTAGAACTAGATCAATTCATAGAAGGTGCATTCATTTGTACAGAACTGTTAGTTATAGGTTTGCCAGTTATTAGTACTAGCAATAATACAGATGACATCCAATTCAAGTCATTTCTAGTTAGATAGTCCTAATCCCCCTTATATCTAGCTGTTCCATCATTTCGGTAACATCTTTGCCCGCTGCGTCTATGTGATAGCCAGGCTCAATATCCCCGGTCTCTGGGATCTCGAGTATGGGAGCATTGTTAATATTAGCACTTTCGGGGCTCTTCCATAGCCCATTCATGTTGAGCTTGTTTTTGTCGTTGGAGTCATTGTTCTGTTCTCTGGTGGGATTGCATACGCGTCGGTCTTGTTTAGAGCGGTGAAACGGGTACGGCGTCGGTGGTCGGGTCACCTCCAGGGAATGGTGGCGTAACTGCAGAGGTGTAGGTTTCTTGGCTTTGGACCGCTGGGTGCTCCTGTATCCGGTGCACAAAAAACAGTTCATAGCGATTGTGTGTTATGGTATACTCCCTTCCTTGGGCTTGCCTTAACCCATCCTCTTGCTGCTTATATATTCTTGCTAGGGATTAAAAGACCTTGGAGCTCATTATCAAGATCTAAGAACTGAGCCAGTAGTATTCCAGAATCAAAACTCGTGATCTCGTTTATTAGTGTCTGGTTTTTAGGCGCCAGTGCAGTCAAACTAGACTAAAAACATCTGCTAGAGGAGGGCCCACATTTAGGCGGATCGGGCTGCGTACTAGTGGCTCATGTCTGAAAAATCAAATTTAAGCACTGGAACCTCAGAATCTAGTTCTAAGAACTGAACTGAAGTTTCTTGATCTTGTTGTGTTCGGCTACCGCACACTGTCCACTGAAAGTCCAAGACAGGTACTCGCAGGGAGCCACTAATGATCCAACTTATCTCGCACCCGCCATTACAACTAAGAGCCTGGAAATACCGGCACAGTCTTCCGCAACTAAGAAGTCTCCTGTCGAAGAAGGTCATGCACGCTAGGTCTCACTAAATTTAAGTGTCGAATTATACAGAGCTTTTGGTGAAAGGATGTATTGCCTAAAGCATTTTTTGTACATGAATAATAAACTAGTCTCACTGCTGGATTCATTGACCTCAGGTCTCAAGTTTGCCTTGCTCGCTCACATGGGATATCCTCTGGTGTGTCGAGAGTGACTCCGAAACCTCTTAATGCTTGGGCGTAGCTTGCTTGCCTTCCGTAGTATCGCGTTTCCACAGGGCAACCGGATTTCAATCAACAAACTGAGGAATTTTAGGAACTAGTCAGAGAACGGCCTACAGAGCAGCACAATGAATTACTTAAGAACAATAGCCACTGCATGACTCCCGAGCTCTTCCGCGGCCGTACCCAAGCATCTACCAAGCTTTGTCCATAACCAGCCAAGTGCAATGGCAGCAGAACGAATCCCTGAGTCCTTTACAATATGAAATGGAAGGTCCGTCTTGCTGGCCTGAGCCACCCCGGACGAGCATCTTCCTCTACGCCAGGCTCCAGTGGGGTCTTTCTTAAATGAGAAAGGACATGCTCCCATGACCCCTCACGGAGCGCAACCCTGCACACTTCTACTTCCTTTAGAGTAGAGCAGTGTCTAAAAACAAAATTCATCAAACTTAATGGATCGTGAAAGTCTCCACCTTTAATCTTAATAACCCGTAGTTTTGGAATGGTCATGCGATCGAGAAGCCTCGGGGGCAACATCCTATCTTCACCATAGCCCATCGATATTTCAAGTTTCTCAAGCAATGGGGCAGACTGGATCAACTTAAGCAGACCATCATCATAGTCCACTTCCGGCCCTCTATAAGGTGGCAGCTCTATACTCAGAGTTTTTAGCTCACCAAAGACGTGTTCGTAAATCGTGGACCTCAAGGAACTTAAGCTTCGTAATATACCTGTCAAAGGCATGTTAAAGCCTTCTGCATCACGCGAACGCAGCACTAGGTTAGTGAGCTTCGCATTTGTTGCGTACAGGGCAGTCGTAAAAGATCTGAAAACTCTAGGGCCAGTGGGTAGCTGCAACGAGTGCTTAACGTCTTTATAAAATAAGCTATCAAATCCCACCCCGGGTATATTGTCAGGGGATTGGGAAAAGCTGATCGAGCGGAGGCATTTAAAGCGTGGCAGAATGACACTCAGACTGGCTACGTCCAAATTAGACTCTTCAAGGACACGGTTCCGCGAATATCCGTGACAATATTCTTTGTGTGCCTCTTCTAGTTTTCTTAGGCATATTTTGTCAAAACCACCTTCTCCAGCGAGTCGTTTTATGAAGGCAACAAAATTATCTTTTGAAAGAAATTCGGACTCAAAGTCTTCAAAACTGCAGGTAAGATACCGTACCCTATCTTCATGGCCGGAATGTGACACGGATAACAGTCTTTGGTAGCCGGCTTCGCTATGAGTGAAGTTAACACTGCGGAATGCAAAATATGCTCCAACATTTGCCAGCCTTCTGCAAACCATGCGGCAAGATAAGACGTCGGACATATTTCCGTGCCGTCGAAAATCCTCAGTGACCTGATACAGGTTTTGGAGGATCAGGTACTGGATTTCGTCCGGTAAGCAAAGCATGGCAAAGATGTAGGAATACAAAAGGCGATCTGGACGTTACAAATAATAAGGTAAGGTAGAGTCGTTGTAAAGCGATGTTCACTCTTGAACTCGAGCTCGACTTATTGGGCCATGGCTCTCCACACTTTATAATTTCTGGGCAGAGCTCATCTTTCCTCGAGATGACGCCCCGCGACGGGCTTAGGCTATTTTTACGTGGCCACGTCAGCGTTTCAAAATCTTATAATTAAGTTCGATAAACCAGGAAGACAGATTCAGGTATTAAGATAGCTGTTCTAGGATCTAAATGCCCACGTCGTGCGACTGTTGGAAGCTGTAGGTAAGACGATGTCCCGTCTAGAAGCAAGGCCCAACATAACCCATCGCGAGCTCAAATCCAGGTTTTGGAGGGTCAGGAGCTGAGTTCCACGAACTAAGTACATATATTCTAAGCGATAAGATCTGATTTTCAAGTTCAGTGATCATACTTGCGGTCATTCGTCGCCACAAACAGACCATGTACCACACCACAAGCCGGCCAAACCCCACTAAGGCATCCAAGATGGACTAACCTGTACTTGGTAATAACTTTGTTAGAAAAAGAATATTAATACATATTGCTCATCTAACTATTTAAAAGACCAGATTTTTTTTTTTCCATTACATATTTCATTTAAGCGTTACGGGTTCTGTGAAGTCTTCAGGGGAAAAAATAGTACGACCGGTTGATGACGAACCATGTGAAGCTCGGTTCTCAATGTGATGGCCTATTCTATAACTATGATATGTTTCTGGAGTTCTGATTGAGCCCTCGTGATGGAGACCGGAATTAGACGAGTGCCGTGAATGGTAGAGGGTTGGATCTTTACTACCCGCCTGATCTTGCCCAACAGGTGACAACATGGATCGCGGGCTTTCGGATTCCTGGAGGGGTAACCGCCTGCGACGTAAAGCCGACGCGGCAGCAGACAAGACTGCATTGTTCAAGTGCAGTTTATCAAGTGAACTTTGCCGTCCTGCTAGACTTTGAAACTCGGTAGGCACAATTGAAGTTGTACATCCGCCAAGCTCCTGTTGCTCACAGTCATCTTCTCGTGTGGTACTCTCCGCATGCTCGGCCGTCTGTGCAGCGGTTGAATTCACATCTATGGTGCTATAGTCGTTGGGAAATCCGCGGAAAAAGGAACGCATAAAATCTGCCTGGACAAAAAGAATGCTAGGGTGTCCGCTGACCTCTGGTTCTATAAGCATTTGGGGAAGGAAGAGAGACCGAGATATGAAGTGATAAGAGCTGGTCAATGGTCGACCGCTTCTATTCTTCACGCTGTCTTCGCGGGTTTTGCGCACAGACAATTGGGTGGCAGCTAACGGCGAACCGGGAGAAACCTGACGAAGCTTGGACTCAAGCCTATGGGAAGTGAATCCTAGGGCTTGGGCAAGCGTCAAGAATCTTTCCAAGTATGTCTCTTCAATGCCGCTTTTTACAGGCGACAATCGACGCTCTCGAAGGGGTCCAATTTTGGATAGCCTTGGGAAGTTTCTGATGGCTGATATGAAAAGAACATGATATGCCAGAAAGAAGCTGGGTTGACGAGGCAATAGGTAATATTGACCCTCTGCATGTTCAATCAAGTTCTCTCGCGGTTGCCATATATTTTGCATAGCTTGAGCCATCGTCCCCCTGATTTTATCTCCTACTATATTTTCGCGAAGTATCGACATACCAATGCTTAAATACCCCATGTTATCATGGAAGGTCTCTATGCTTGGTATGACAACACCTATTTGTAAAAGTTGCTCTTCGATTTCATCACGAAGAATACGGCTAAAAATAGTGCTAAAAAGTTTCCTCGAAAGCATCAGCTCTCTGATTGTCCGACTGTCGTTACGGCTAGCCGATGGGGCAAGACGCTCGAGAGCCCGCACTGTTTCGTCGTCCGTCGCCTGTTGTACTTCGGGATTGTTCAGAGTAATTTTTCGCCATACCTCCTTGACGTGACGCAGATAGTGACACATTTCTTCATCGCAATGCGTAGCCAAATGTGACTCTATATTCCCAAGTTTCAGGCCGTTTTTAAGGCCAGGGTAGCTGGTCAACTCGTACAGAATTTCTGCAATGTTTTCCATACCGAGCAATCTTGGAAGGCCTTTACCTTGCTTATATGTGCTCAGGCGAAGACGCCAGTCATCCGCAAGTTCCTGTTCTCCTTCCAGCTGATAAGAATATATCCGACGAAACACCTCTCCATCTGAATACGAAGTCTCGAATGACAAATCATTTATCTCGCGCTTAAGTAGAACGTCTAGACGACAATCGCTTGGAATGCAAAACAATCTGACGCTCCACCATGTTTGCGGTCCCAAGACCTGTAGAGCTGCTTCATAACGCTGCCTGCCCTGAAGACATCGTACAGTTGCGGCAGGGTGCAGCTGGGGGTAAGGTGGCCGTTGTTGGGTAAGTGCATCATTGTGAACATGGGAATGCTCGAGAATTCGATCGAGTTCACCTCTGGAGACGCAGACTGGAATCTGATTAGCGGCATGATCGCAATTTTCTTCGAAAATCTTCGCCAGATAATTAATGGCAGACGGTATCTTTTCGCGAGAAAACGGAAAAGTGAATTTTTCCAATTGAATTTGGGCGGTTCCAACGAAAAATTCCATGATTGCCGCGACTGTTCTCTCTACGCTTTGAAACGGTGCAAGCAAAAAATACATTGAATCGTTCAGCATGACTCACATATACTTTGCCTTGGCAGCTTGTCGTAGTGGGGTTAAAGCTAAGGTTCGGGAAAGAATCGTTTTCTTGTTACTTGGAACTTGGAACTAGATTTCTGTTGCAAGATTTTAAACTCTCAATTCCGAGTTCTAGGAAATTAATTGCAGCCAACAGGCTTCTGCCGACAGATTTCTGCCCACAGGCTTCTGCCACCAGACTGCTACCACTAGACTGCTGCCACTAGACTGCTGCCCACAGATTACTGCCCACAGGCTGCTGCCACCGGACTGCTGCCACTAGACTGCTGCCACTAGACTGCTGCCCACAGATTACTGCCCACAGGCTGCTGCCACCGGACTGCTGCCACTAGACTGCTGCCACTAGACTGCTGCCACTAGACTGCGGCCACTAGACTGCTACCACTAGACTGCTGCCACCAGACTTCTGCCCACAGATTACTGCCACCAGATTTCTGCCCACAGACTGCTGCCACTAGACTGCTGCCAACAGATTTCTGCCCACAGGCTGCTACAGGCAGACTGCTGCCAATAGATTTCTGCCCACAAGCTGCTGCCACCAGACTGCTACAGGCAGACTGGTCAGGCTTCTGCCACCAGACTGATGCCACTACACAGATATCTAGTGGCTCTTGTGACGAGGCATGCTTTAAGGCTTCAAGGCAGAAGTCCAGTTGAAATGCAAAAGAGCGGATAGAATACTGAAACTCTTGACCACTAAGTAGATTGCTAAGTTTCTACTAGGAAAGCATAGATCTCTGCGGACATGGGATGTTGGATTTGTTAGGTTTACAGCCCCCTTTCTGGAGGGCTATACCAGTAAAGCGTGGCACCTCGGCTGTAACTCAGACATGTGAGAGGACATAAAAGCTGAGGAAATGACTGTTAGGCCGTATTAGGCAATTTGGATTGGACTGCCTCCTTTTATGGCACAGGAGCCTGAGGGGCAATGGCTAGGACAACTTTAAAGTCAGCCTGTGGACTTAGGTCTTTACTTCTCACAATTGGGGGTAATTCAATGCCTTTCTAGCCGTCCCACCCCAATCGTCCTTTCGCTGCTGTATTTCTGCTTTGTGTTTTTCTGAAAGGTCGAGAATTGCATTGTCTTCTCGAGCTAGTTTTTTTAAATTCGAGCTGGAGGCCTCGACTGCGCCTTGACCATTTTCTAGCAAAGCTGCAAGCCCTCGCCTATGTAACTCTCGGCTGCGAGCTGCTCGATTTGCAAGTTTATATTCCCGATCAAGTTTCTCCAAGCTTAGTCTCTCCTCGTTACTATGAGTTGTAAAGCAAGGCATTCGACTGTTACCTTTCGACACTCTTATCACATTTGGGGGAACTTCAATGGAAGGCATGTTTCTGGATGATCGAGGTAACAAATTTGAGAAGCAGTTCAGCCTTCTTGAAATACTAATCTGAGCCGGAGCCGAGTACCTTATCCTCACACACCGTGACTACGTGAGGCCCAATGGCTTTTATGGCCGGTTGACAGATTTGCTGGGCATTTGCTAGGCATACGTCGTTGCCCATGTAGTCCAAAGGAGTTGGGGTCCATATCGTGGCTAGAGTATTTTGCATGTCTGTACGACTTTCACCCTCGCGTTAGTACAATAATAAAGCCGTCCTGCATGTACAGTACTGTTGCCCGGTTGTCTAAAAATAAGTCCTAAGAAGTAGCGTGCTGTCGAAGTACAATGTACCAGCGTGGACTTCGAAATTATGCGGGGAGGGTGTCGCGACATGACCATTCTTCACATGGGACAGCCATTGACATTTAGTGATAAGGGCATCGGAAAACTGATGGGACCTAGGGCGTTGACCCTGGTATTTTTAACTTGTCCCATTCTTGTGAAATTTATGTGACATATCACATCAGCTGCTTGATGAAGCGCGCGCCAAAATCATGGGACCAGCTTTGTCGGCCGAATTATTCAGGCCTTTTTGACAAACAGGGATGCTCGGCTTTGTGACCTTCCGATTGCTCAAGTCTTGTTACCTGGCTGCCTGATGTGGAGAGAAGAAGTTCAAGGCGTAGATGCAACAGTTCATTGATCAATCTCTTAGGGTGACCGATGCGCGACCCCTAAAAAGCCCCGCACATGGACCTTCCTGCCTGACAATCTCACTGGCCGATTGTTCTGAAGTCGTTCATGCAACGTACTCCGTGCAGAAGGCATGCAATATTGGGCGGCTGCCACCCCTTTGCTTCGTAGCATGCATTTATGTTCTGCAAACACGCATATTTCGTGGCCTTTTTGGTTGACAAAAGTGAATACACTGCAATCCAGCACTTCAAGCCTGTCTCTCTAAGCGTAGAGGGACAGCGCCCCTCACCCTTGCGCAAAGCGTTGTGCGCAATTGGTCATGAGCCATTGGCCAGGGATTCAAACCCGTCTCGTTCGGTGAGATTGTGTCCGTAACGGATATGCTCTTATCAGCCCCAGAGTTGGAGCATGCACGAAGGCGGCAACTTGAACTAAAATTGGGAGCAGGTTTAAACACGAAGTTAGTCTGGGGATAAGCGAAGATGGTAGAGACGCGTGATATACTGCAATTTTTGGTTCTGCGCAACCAAAGACAATTGCGTCTAGACTTGCGTCCACCAGTTCCAACTGCTACGTGAAGCCATTCCCCAAACGCGATCATTTTGTCAGGCATGGCCTCGACCGTGAACATATCAGTGCTCTCCAAGCAGGTTTTGATGCCAAGAGGAAACTGCTTGGCACAGATGCCGCTTGGTTTGGCGAAACGTTCCCAGATATTTGGAACACAATCTGGGTACCGCAGAAAGAGAATAGTCACCTTGTCTTTCATGTTGGCGGAGACACGTATGCGGTTATCAGGGACAAGGCCAAGGACAGGGCTTCACTTGTTGAAACACCAAGAACTAGCCCGCCCGATATGACGTTCAGCTTTGGGGCCTCTGAACCCAAGAATTATCCACGCGAGCTCGCCACAACTGATGTCCAACTTTGGCCCTTCTGTATCTAAACCTGGGCAGCACCCACCGGTGTTCTTCTTTGGCAATTCATCTAGGTCGCACTCACCGACATTCAACTTTGGCACACTCGTACCTTACGACAGAACTCATGGCTTCGAAGAAAGCGCGACCAGGGCTGATGCCACATGAAGCCCGTTGTTAAGCACAGAGGGTCGTGTCGCAACCCAAGCAGCTGAGGCGCTCAGCCAGGCTTGCCAAGCCATGAAATTATTCTTCAGTCTATGCGGACAGCTCGACTCGGGACAATACCGAGTGAGATTTACTGAATGGACTGCTGGCTGGATCAGAGCAGCTAAATAGCTTGAGTTTCTCAAGTGGTGTGCAGAGGTAGATTAAACAGGAAGAAAAAGAAAAAGAAAAAAAAGAAGAAGAAAAAAATAGGTTCCATAGTATCTGTCAACGAATTTGATACTTGATTCATGCTGACGCCTTTCATGGTGTGGAGTGAGATTTTGTACAGGCAAACAGTCACGAGAGTTATTTAATAGTAGACGGTGTAAAGGATATGCGTAAAGATAATGGCTGGAGAGTAGTGAACCCACCTCAATGTGGTGCAAGCAGGCCCGTTGTTCGTTTGGGTGAGCAACAACCTGCTCAAGACTTGGAGTTCCTGCATCTCCTTGAGGCCATCATGCATTGCTTCTTAGGCGTCCACCTAGTTTATTTGACGCCTAAAAGCGCGGGTGCCCGTATTTGCCCTTCATTACCTTGCTCCTCAAGGTGTACCCGCCCTCGCCGTTTTCGGGCGTTTGAATAAGGCACTGCTATTTTTTCTGTACCATTTCAGGTTCGTCTCTCAGTGACTAAGTCATATTCAGCATGTAGACATGCAGTTTCATGCAAAATGACCTTGGGGGGATGGCGACAATTACTCGAACCACAATTGGGGTGGGTGGCAATCGGAGCTCGTGAATTTATTCCAGGATTCCAGAATCAAGAGCTTAATTCAAAGACCTTGTTTCCAAGTAATGGCTGAAACTACGATCCGGTACTTCCCATGTCTCCAAAGTAGGGCGAGCAACTCCCTACTAACTTCCACATTATTTATCTCCCGCGAAACGAGAACATTGTTATTAAAGGATGTGACGTAGCGAAGATGGTCCAATAATGATGGTTTAATGACGACGGCCTGGCGCACAATATGGATGACCCACTACAAACAGTTCATCGCATAAAACTCAGTGGTAGCGGTAACGATGACGGTGACAGTGGCGGCGACGATGGTGGTGGGAGAAAGCGATGACGGTGAAAACAGCTGAACTGATGGTGTAAGGCCGTGAACCCAGTACAGAAGGATCAGTGCGACAGCTCAGTGTAGACAGCCAAGTGCAGACGGCTTGGTGGAGGCGGCTCAGTGAAGACGGCTCAGCGCAGACGGCGCAGTACAGCCGGCCCAGCGTAGTGCAGTGGCTGACTGAACGAGGTAGACACCATGAGAGGCTCACATGAGGCACGTGGTCCAATGAGCAAGGTTCCTTAATGTACGCTCAGTGATCACTGACAAGAAGTAAGATGGGATACGCGAAGATGCCAGTAAATACCCGCGGCTCAACTTTCCACTAGAAATGGTCAGCACAGATCCGGGCTTTCTTGCATGTCCATGGGCGACGACGAGCAAGGACTACAGTAGCTACAAAAATTGCACATGCCAGGTCGTTTCCATACCACAGGTCTTCTTTATTACCTCTCCGGGTCGGGGGGCGTATTCGATGCCTTTTCAGCTGTCTTTCTCCAGACGTCCAGTCTCTCCTTTATTTCTGCTTCCTTGTCTCTGTGTTTTGCTGAGAGTTCGAGAATCGCATTGTGTTCTTGAGCTAACTTTTGTAAAGTCGAGGTCGAGGCATCGGCTGCAGGTTTCATCCTTTTTTAGCAAGCCTGCACGCCCACGCCTCTTTTGCTCTCGGTTTCGTGCTACTCGAGTGGCGAGCTT